AAAAACTTATCGAACTTATCGAATTCGGCTGATCAATTTTTATCAGTTGTCCCAGAATTTATGAAAACAGCTGTAATCTTAACCGGTTGAATGAGATAATTCGGTTCGGTTAACCGATTAAGAAAATTTTTCTCAGTTCAAATCACCATTGTGGACAGATTTAAGAGAGGTTATCAGATTTGAAAGCACTTTAAACTATTAGATTTATATAACGGAAACAGACAGGTTATCGATTTTGACAGGATCAGTTTTGGGAGGTTCGACAGTATTAACGTACTAATTGATAGTTTATTTTAATACTCTGTTAAGTCGGCTTTATAAAAAATCGACTTGGTTAAGTCGACTAACCGATTTGACAAGCATCGACTTGTATCACTACCTCATATAGACTTGATTAAGGTATGAAAACCATTGTTCAGCTTTTTCCATTATTTATAATCATATGACAGTTAAAATTGTACGTACGTAGTTTTTTTTACGTATTACTACAATATATATTCGACGAAGCAAAAGATTCATAAGCTTCTAAGTTTCGAACATGACTTTTAGTCCGGTGAAGTTAACTTCAGTTACGTAACACATTTTTAGTTTTAGGAATGTACTAGGAAGCAGTGTTATACATTTTGACTGTTCCGAGCTTTTTTTTAGCACTCATCCCGTCTCGGGACATCTCAACTTTGTCTCATTAATTTGCTTGAAAAGCTATATGGGTAATAATTTTAGAAATCAGACCGAGTTACACATATTGTGTAATTACAAGATTGGTCTGGATTCGGAAATAATTGCCCATATGTAAAATTAAAATTTGAAATTTTAATTAAGAGTTGAAAGAATAAAATTTTGACATTTTTTTTAAAGTTTGTCTAAATCCATTCCAACTGTCCTGTGTATAACACTACTAGGAAGTAGAAAATTAATTTACCATTCACACTAGCATCGTTGCCAGGAAGATTGGAACCCATAAAATTTCGAAGTTTGAATCACAAACTTTTAGAGTTCAAAAATGTGCTTAATAATTTATAGCTAATTAATTCTATTTGGATAAAATGCAACAAACCCGGGTAGTTATGGCATTTCATTTAGGGGAATATAAATGGTTCATTTTTATATTAAAAGCTTATATTCGCGATCGAAGACTTTATTGCACTTTCACATTGCATAACAACTTACATAAGACTATCCAATCAAACAACATGTTTACCTTGCTCAACATGGTAAATATATCCATTACCTGTTGTGATTAAATCAATGAATTTAATGGTTACCAGAAAATACGAAAGACAATATTAAGTAATTTTCATCACCTTGAAGCCCGTCAAAAACAAACAAGTTGTTAATGGGGGCACCCTTCTTGGACAGCACATTCAGGATGTCTTGAGCTAAAACACCTCCCAGGATTGCACATATAGGTGTTAATTCCGTAAGTGCAAATGATGCGAGAGTTCTAAATGGAATAAATATGGTTATTTTTTAAACAGAATGTAACATTCTTTCAAATGAATATTAAAATTATTTACATAAGAAATTCATCAGTTACAAGTAGATCATTAATATGATTGGTTTGTAAATACGAGTTTCTCAGGGATAATAATTTTTCAACGTCCGAGTTATCATTTGTTGCTGGTAGTCGACCCATTTCTTGATGAAATTTCCATAAAACTGCATAATATTTAAATCATTTGACGTAAATTAAGATCATAAATTAAGATAAATGTTAATTTACAATTCCTGTCAAGCGTAAAATAATAACATACTTTGAATAGCCCATAATAAAGGCGAAATCTTTTTTAGTTTTCTATCTGAAATTTCTGTCCAATCAGCTTTGGATAAGACACATTGAAAGCTCACGTATTCGTCATTCTTTTTTAACTTTGTTATTTCGTGCTCATCTTTATGTGGTATTGCTACCTTTCGTTCTCTTTAACATTTCAAAATAGTAAGATAAAGTTGTAAGTTGAAACAAAAACTAAATCCATATCCAATTATGTAGTAATTGAAGACATACACTATATATTCATGTTGTTTAAGATCACAAAAAATATAACCGTAGAAACCATAAGTGCAAGCTGCATAAAACTTTTTATCGAAAATTCTGCAGATCTCATTAATTCGGATCTATACAAATAATAATAATAATAATAATAATAATAATAATATAATAATATGTTAACCAAAACATAAATATTTTGCATTGATTAAATTTGTACCTACCATTGTATAAGGGTCGCAATCTGTAAGACACACTAAATCAAAAGTTTTGAAGAAATCATCAGACTTGGCACGTATGTCGTTATTGTCTGCTGTCACCACGACACGAGGATTTAATTGACGAATCCGATCAGCTGAAACAATTGCTTTCTTAAAAAATGTATTACAAATAACAATAAAAGGTTCACGTCACAGTTTTGTCATACGATAAAATAATTATGCTAAAAATTGCAGCATACATTCTTTCCTATATCTGCTTCTGTAACAAAAAATTGTGTTCCAAGATCTTCTTCTGTAACCACATTATGATCAATTATTGTAATCGAGCCGATCCCTGCAAGAACCAAATTCTTGCATATTTCATTACTTAGTCCTCGCATCCCACTGATTAGAATTGATGAAATACGCATTCTAGAGGGTACAACCGATACAAGATCAACTAATTCAATTGCAGCAAACTTAAATAGATAATTAAAATTCATCTTGCTACAAACCGTTGTTGAGCTTCTAAACCCCATAATCTAATTTGTCTATCATATAATGCGGCCTCGTCTAATGAAAATTTTAACGTGTCAATATTATTATATTGTCCGAGAACTGACCCTAAACTTTCAAAAGTATAAGACCTTCGCTGATATGAGTTGTATCTGCCATTAGTAAGGTTGAAAGTAGCTCGTGTGATGTTTCAGCAAGTTTCACTATTTATCCGTTGTGTGCGTTTTGTGTTGATACTTGAAATATTTGAAATATATATTTGAAAATATTGAATTGTGGGCTATTTATAGAAATGCCTAGTGTCTACTTACTTTGTAAGGAATCAAGTATCACAGCAGATGACGCGCTAATGCTGATAGGTGCATAACATTATTAAAGTATATAGGCATAATGATTGGGTCTGAACTAATTAGGTAGTGAAACAATTGTAGATAATATCATGACCTTCCTTTGTTGTCCATTCGAACTTTGTCGATGTGGTCTAGTATTTCCCGTCTACCATTTCCTATTTCTCTACTTGGCTTCTTAAGCCCTTCCCGAACGATTGGTATGAAACATTAACTCTGACATTCAAATTTTTTCGAACGACTTCTTTGTCTAATTTTTGGTTATCTTTTCTTTTTTTTTTTTTTTTTTTTTTAAAAACTTACAGGCATATAATTCACAAAACTTTTTACATTCGTTTTTTCTCTCAGCTTCTATTATTTGCTTCATGAGAAATTTTACACAAAATACAAAAATGTTAAATTTGTTCCCTTTATCAAAAATAAAATCATGGGTCTTGATTGTTATAATATGTATAGCAATCGTGTTAATAGATGTACCGCTGGTAACGGCAGATAGTAAGTTTTATTTTGAATTTTATAATTATTTTTAATATATTATAGAAAATTTGAATAAAATTGATTAATTCAAAAACCATTAATATTTTCTAATTATAAAGTTACTCCTGAGCCCAATTGTGTGGTATGTACAGATGTTCCAAAATGTCCTAGTTGTCCGTCGGGTTCGACTTGCGTTCTTACCGTGAGGACATGTAATCAATGCCCGCAAGCATTTTGCAATAGTACAATAAGTACACCTAGTCCCAATGAGGATAATGGAAACAGTAAAATAATACCGGGTGTAATTTGTGGTATACTTGGTTTAATTGTTTTGGTGGCTGCTGGATACTTCTTGTACAAACGAAAATATCAAAGTAAAGGTATTAAATTAGATAATAATGAAGAAGTCAGTTCAATGTATGCAGAAAATGTTATTCCAATTGCATATATACCACCAACTACACCTCAAGATGCTCATAATAGAATGCGCTCATCAGTAGTCAGCGCGGGAACTACACCACTAAGTAGTCCAATACCTAAAAATTCAACTTTTGAAACATTAATTGATTTTGTAGAAGATGATGATCCGATTTCAGAAGTTGGTACAATTTTACAGGCGACTAAAACCGCACCAACAACAACAGTAATAACGGCAACACGTGCTAAACCTGCAATTGTTCAATTAAATATTATTAAATCAAACGGAAATAGTTCAGAACCTCCAAAGAGTGCTTCACAGTCAACTTATAGTGGAACTAGTAATCCTAATACACCAAAAACAGTCAACTCTTTCTTAAGTACACCTTCAACAGCGTCTTCACCAGGTAGTCCGACTAAATCTGGAACAGACACTGGATCGAATAGTATACTGCCCACTATTGATATAGAAAGGCCGTCAACAGAGTCATCTCGGCCACAAATTCAAGAAATATCACAACAACAAAATCTTAGTTCACCACAACAAGATCAAATAGAAGGGCGACAATCATTTGGACTATTCGGTAGTGACGAGGTATATGGTAAAGAACCTAAAACACCTGAATTACAGAGAGAAAGTGTGATGTCAACTAGTACCAATGCTAGAAGCACTATGTTGTCTGATGAAGGAGAAATTATGATATTTTGGGGGGGAGATGGGAAGCCCTAATCTTTCCCCAGTTCCAGTTAAACTATGAAACCCCATATCTAATTGAATAAACTAGATTATTGCCATCCTTAGCGTCGTCATAAAAAATCAAACAAATTAATTTGTTTATTATTTTGCTATATCTTTATTTAATACTATAAAAAAAAAATTTTTTTTCAAAGTATATATTTGTTTGTTATTTATAAAAGGAAGCGAAGACTTTAGATTTTAAAGCATTTTAAAGCATTTTCATTTATGCATTTTACGAGTTCTTTTTGTTAGTAAAAATTAAAACCAACCGAAAAATGCAATTTAAACATTGTGTAATAAAAAATATGTGCTCTATGGTGTTTATCTATTTTGGCTTATAGATTGTGGAACAAATGAAGAGCTATTCGCAAATTATATTTTGCCATTATGTGACAATTGCAGCAAGTTTTTACAATTTAAATTAAACGTTGATATATTTTTTTGATCTATAAAATACAAACAGAGTTGACAATGGAGACAATGGAGACAATGGAGCCAATGATCCAATAAATTAATTTTTTCACTGAGCTCCATTCGGACTTTTTTTCTTTATTAATGGATAGCCAACCCGGAATCAGAAGTAAAGTTTGGAACCGGTTTTATTTTTCATATGTTAAAACCGGGTTAAATCGAGTTTAACGTATGAAAAATAAACCGGCTCCAAACTCTAAATCAGAAGGATTCACGTTATTGAATTTCATTGGTGATAGGAGGGACCGATCAGTTAGACTAATTAAATGCCACATAAGTTGCACATACATATTAATTACTATATATATATATATATACTGTATATATTTACTAAATATATATAAATATATATATATATATATATATACTGTATATATTTACTATATATATATATATATATATATATATATAGTATATGTATTAATATCCATTATCGTTATATATTATTATAAATTTAATAGTCTATTACTCGTTTTATTGCATAAAAGCTACCTCTAAGCAAAATATTCAAACCTGTCTATTATTATTGATGGCATGCGCACAAATTTTGAGAATCATGCACATAATTTTTGTAATGAGCCCTGTACTGTAAGTATATCTAAACAATCTTTTTAATTACGTAAAATATTGTATGTTAAAATTTTTAAATTTATTATCGTTGTCTAAGCCTCTAAAATTATTCAACTTATAATAAATTATCGTGTCCTGTCATGTGAAAAAGTAAGGTATATACAACTTATATTCTTAATTTATTTCGAATTACTAATTTAGTTTAATGTAAAAATATAAGTTTCATGACTATTAGTCATAAACTTTAATGTTTTTATGCCATTTACTGGCTTTATCCCGATGACCAAATCCGCACAGCAAGAGTATAAAATATATAAAATACCCAATAGCAGATCGTACTGAATGGTTTTTAAAATAAAGTATTTTAGAAATTACAGAAGATCTGGATAGTTGATTGACTAAATTATATAGTAAGAGAATCCTATTTAAAAAGCATACCATACTGATCTCGTTTGTAATTTGTGAAATTTGTAGATCGAAAAAAAAGAAATCACTTACTACAAATTATTACAAATTATTTGATCCACCATCATGAAGTCATATAAAATAAAGAATAACATCCTTATTTTCCACCGGGGAAATAAGTCGGTAGATCTCTGACTATGAGACCTTCATACAACCGGGAATTTACCTTATATTTATGCTTTCAATCGCTGGTAAATATAAAGATCATTTATTAATCAGTAGAGTTAAAATCGGTAAAACAAATTCACAAGTCAAGATCATAATACCTACCAATACATAGAGATCATTTCAAATCTCATGATTTAACCGTTAAAATTATTTATTAGAATTGAAATCTGCGTAACAAGTTCGCAAGCTATACTTACTTGCCATAATGCACAAGTACTACGATTAATGTAATCTTCACGCTAATTTTGCTGAAGATTCATGTGAAAGATTCATATTGTGAAATGCGGATAATGAACTTACTTGACTAGCTAAACTATTTTCTACTAATTAAAAATTAGCTACAACCTATAAATTTAAAGGCGAAGATTCTTATGCATCTAACTGAAATTTAAACTCTATTTTTCATGACCCTACCCGGCCGGGTTATGAATTTTAAATTATTGCTACGAACAACTTTACTTAATACTCAATTATTGATTAATTAGCCAAATTTTATATAGTCATTATTTAATAATCAAATGACCAAGTCATTTATCATCCCTGTATACCAGCAGTCCTTGGAAAGAATTTGCTATAGTGTGTGATAGAAAAAAATAATGATAATATTTTATTTTTGATAGTTTATTCATAATGATTATTTTGTAGAACAATATTCTTATACTGTCGAACAATAAAAATAACGCATCAAATACCTAGTACTGTAGTAGTTTTAGAGTACAAAGAAAATCACTTACAATTATTTGTCTTTTTTTTCTTCAGATAAATTCAGATAAAGAATCTTTATATTTTTTTATTACGAGGGTCCTTAATAGAATTTATATAAATCTCTAAAATTTTCGCTTATATATAAAATAGAAACTAGTATTACATACTTGATATTACATTTAATAACGTTTTATAATTCAGTGTTATTTTTAAAGTTCTATTAGACACTGCAACAAAATTTTAGCTTACTTACTATCAAACACTATCAATTATTGACTATTTTTAACCATTGATTGTATTCTTTCGATCATTGTCCATTTTTCTTTCTTGGCCATATATGACCTTGGTTATATTTCCAAATTTGGATTCATCAATTCGACAAAAATATTAGACAGTTATTCTGATAGAGCACTTGTTGCTGGTATAGTAATATAATCACACGAGTGACCCGTATGTACTTTAAGTAATGAAGCTAAGATTTAAGATGGTTTCTATCAAAAAATAAAATCTTTAAAAATTAACATGGTCGATTAGTACATTTTAAAGTCTGGCTTTTTTTTTTTGATAAAGAATGTAAAATATGGTCGATTAGTACATTTTAAAGTCTGGCTTTTTTTTTTTTGATAAAGAATGTAAAATTATAATGTGACACGTTAAAATTTACGGTACCAGATAGGTTGAAATATCTGCTGTTTTTTTTTTAGAAACACCAAATTTTACTCTTATGTTGTATAATAAATGATGATTGATATAAATTGATTATATGGTAGCGATAGTTATATATTTTTTTATCAGTCGATGTCAAAGGAAACTAGACTTCGGCTTTGGAGTTTTTGATGGACTCAGCCCCTGAAAAATCTGATCAATAACACTTATCGTTTAATTACGCATCTTATTTGATATATATCTTTGATCAAATTCTCAGGGCTTAGTCTGTGGCGTTATCAACAGGAGGAAACGTTGAACGTCATAAAATTGTTACACAATTGATAAAAATTTTTTTTATATTATTTTACAATACTT